TTTTTTTTTGTTTTTTTTTTTTGCATTTTCCTCTTTGGAATTTGGGGGGCTTAACCTTAAGTGCTTAGAGCCTGGGAGACCCTGTCGCTGCTGCCACTGGCACTGTTGCCTTAGTGAGTACCCGCTGCTGCATTCTGCTGCAGAAGCTGTCAGGCCTCCAAGCAGCTGGGAGAGAGGGCGGGGGAGGGCGTGATGGAGTCCTGGCAGGCAGGTGACCAGGCAGCAGTGGGGAGATGCTGGAGCCACCTAAGATGAAGGGCAGTCATCTGACAGAAACAGAGGTCCTTGGCTGGCAGATAAATGAAGACTTGCCAGTAGTAATAAGCCCGGACATGTAACATAAGGTTGCTTCCCCCACTCCCCCACCCCCAACCTGCTTTCTGGGAACTTGACTGATGTGCTTAGCAGAGGAGCCATTTTTATTCTGATGGCGTGTGGCCATCTCAGGTGAATGTGCTGGGTCTATAGTGAACATCTCAGACAGCTTCCCTGTGCAGGTCTTGTTGGTGCATGAAGGAAGCTGCATTGGGTCAGCAGAAGCTAACTGGCTAGCTGCTGCTTCCCTAGGGGAAGGGTAGAGGGAACCCTCTTCTGTGGAGAAGCAAATTGTGAATGTGAGGGTTGTGAGACAGGCAGAGAAGGAAGCTGAATACTCTCTGGGGATTAAGAATAAAGGTACCTCCCCTGCTCCTTGCGTCTGATGGCCTGGACTTTAGCTGAGTTTGTCCAAGACCCTCTTATGGGCTCATGCTTGTAATTCAGCCATGTCTGTGGTCAGACAAATTTTGGAGCGGTAATCTAGCATGCATACAAACATATGTATAATCTGTTTCCCATTAGCACCTTTTCTCTTTGTGTGGTGTTAACTGGTTTTCTGTTCTAACTGCTGTCCTTAGCCTTTTGCCTCACATATGAACAGAGTGCCTTTCCTCTTTCCTGTATATTCCACTGTGTGTATTTGGCCTTTTGCCCATAGTAGTCAGAGCCAGTCTCCCCCAGGACACACGCACTCAAGTATCTGGGCCTGTCCCAGTTCTTGGGCCCATTGTAGATTGAGTCCCCTCCCAGACTCCTTCCCAGGGAGGACATTGCCATCGTGTCACTTCGTACCCCCACCCCACCCCCCCCGCCATCCATCCTTCACTCTCCTCTTAAGGCTGCATTAAGAAATCTTAATTTCTTCTAAGACAAAAGGCAGCAAACTAGTAAAGAACTAGATAGTTGGTTTGTGTTTTGTTGTTGTTATTTTTACCAGATAGTATTTTAGGGTTTGTGGGCCATACAGTCTCTGCCGCAGCTGCACAAGCAGCCTAGATATAAACACTCATAAACGAATGAGTGTTCCAATAACACTATTCACAAAGATAGGCAACAGACCACATTTGGTTCACAGGCTATAATTTATGGACCTCTGCTTTGATATACCTTCTGTGATTTCATTCTTCTCTACAAAGTAGTAAATTTAAGCTGGGTGAACCCCTCCCCCCCACCCCCCACCCCTGCCCAGAGCACTGCTCCGACTGTCTAATGTCAAGTCAGTAAATGGGCCTTGAGAGTCAGGGCATCCTTGGACTGGAATGAGTGCTAAGGACTGGCTAAGGGAGAGCAGATGCGGGCTCTTTTGTTAGCCTGTGGCAGCTCCCAAGCCCTTCTAGTCACTCCCTACTCCCTAGGGCCACCACCCTGGAATGCCCATGCAGTGGCTCTTTTAGAAATCTGAACGACAGAGGGGCGCCTGGTGGCTCAGCCGGTTGAGTGTCCAACTTTGGCTCACGTCATCATCTCACAGTTAGTGGGTTTGAGTCCCATGTTGGACTTTGCACTGACAGCACGGTGTCTGCTTCCAAATTCTCTGTCTCCCTGTCTCTCTGCCCCTCCCTGACTCACACATGCACTCTCCCTCTCAAAAATAAACATTAAGAAGGAAGGAAGGCAGGCAGGAGGGAGGGAGGAAAAGAGAGACAAAGGGAGGAAGGAAGAAAGGAAGGAATGAATGAACCTGAATGACGGAGATGGGGAGACCCTGCAGAAACAGCATGTGAGGTCCTTGCATAGGAGGCCATGTGTGACCCTGGGAAAAGCCATGCAGGGAGAAGCTGTCAGTCTTCTGAAGAAGGCTATGACTCATCCACGGCCACACAGGTACCTGAAGGCAGAATAAAGCATGACTGCAATCCAGAATTCTTTTTAAACTTTGTATTATGTATAATTCCAAATACACTACTAGTGATCAAGTCATGGCTAATCTTGTTTCGTTTATATCCCCACTCCCTTTCCACTTTCCCCTACTGTCCCCCACACTGGATTTGAACAAATCCCAATTTCACCAGTAAATACTTCAGTGTATATCTCCAAAGTTATGGTACAACCTGAAACTCATGAGCCCTATTCTTGGGCTCATTCACTGAGAATAGCCCTTGAGTGGAGACCAGCCGTCCTCTGGGTCTCAGTGCATATAAATCTCTTTCCTCTAGATTGGCTACCTTCTTCCTACTCTTGTGTCACAGAGTGTTTCTGTTTCAGAAAACAGAGATGCATGATGAACATGTAGGGGAGTTTCTATTCCCACGGTGGTTGTTGGAGCTTCTGCCTCTACTCTGTTTCCAGCACATTTTGAGCAGATACCTTTTATTCTTTTTTAAAGGCCAAAGCTCCTTGATTTAGCTAAAATGTTTTTGTTTTTTAAAGCTGCTTTACTTTCCTGGTTATTTTCCTTAACTAGAATGAACTTGTGTTTCTGGTAGACTCACAGTCTAAGGATATGCTAGTCTGAGGACCATTCTCCCCTCCTTCACTGTGACATCATGAGCTGCCTGTGACAGCGTGCCTGGGACAGTGTGTGTCTCAAGTTGCTAGAAGTTCAAAGCCCTCTCTGCCCTGTTGAATTCATGGCTCTCTCAGAAAAGCTTAGACTATCACTGGTTTGCCCTGAACTGGGCTTGCATTTCCCTTGGGTAACCCCGGCCCCTCTGTGATAGGAAAGTGCTGGAAGAGCAGAGCGACCAGGACCGCCAGCCACTGGGGGCTGGAGAGGCGCCCCACAGGGCCCCGATTCAGCACCAGCACTACATGGGGGATTTGAGGCAGCGGATCCTAGCAGGACAGATTAGAGCCAGACAGGAACTGGAGTTCGACCAAGCACACCTCAGCCGGCAAATTAAAGACAGTAGGTGCCCACTGCTCACTGTGTTTGCTTCACCTTCTCATCTCTTCATTTTCATGCTTCTGCATCCTTCTGTATTCTCTCCTTTGTTGCCTTTATGATTTGATGGAATCTTTGGTATTAGGTGTTCTCTCCCCTCTTTTAGAAACCAGGGGCTCTTATGAGGGGCTGGAAGCAAGAATAAGGAAGCGACCTTCCTTATTGCCCCTCAGAGTGATGGACCTCCTGCTCTCTCTTCACGTGCACATTTATTTGTGCTTTGGTGCCTGTCCCAGCATGTGCTAATGCCTGGGGGCTTCCTTCCCTAGCCCTGTGGTAAGGGGGCCTGGCATCCCTCATATCTTGGCCAGGGCTTTCCCTCCATTCAGGTCCAACCACAGCCAGAGTTGTGTGAGTCTACGCCACACGGGCAGGGAGAGGTGCTGACCTTCTCTCAGGGTGTCTTTGGTTCCCAGACCAGCAGTGGCTGCTCATAGAAGAGCCCCGGCTGGCTGGCTTGCAGCAGCAGCAACAGCAACAGCAGCAAGACCACATCGCAGAGAAAGAATTCGAGGCTTGTGTGCGACCTGGTGCTTGGCTCCAGACAGATCTTGAGACTCCGCCTCCCCCACTGGTCCGAAGTCAGAAGAGGGAGGTACGACTGCAGCTGGGGCGCAGGAACGTGCTTCGGGCAGCACAGAGGGACATCCGGCGAAGAAAAGCCTCCTTCCAGCTAGAGAGAATCATCAAGAAGCAGAGGCTGCTGGAGGCCCAGACAGGACTGGAGCAGCCCAAGGCATTGTGTGGGCTCCAGGATGACCACACCCAGAAGCCCCCATACCGGCTCCCTGGTGCTGGTGCCATGGTCCGAGAATCTCAACACAGAAGCAGACTGACAGATTGCCATTCTTTGAGCCTCCAGAGGCTCTGCAGCCAGTATTTGCCCAGGCTACACAGGTACAGCCAGCTGTGGTCACCTGAAATCACTGGCTGAGGTTTACAGCCTTGTTGCCCAGTCAGTGTTCTTCACTTCCCAGTGCCATGGTTTCTCAGTCTGTGAAATGGAAAGATTTGCTTCCTCTTCTTTTTCCCACCACTTTTCCCCTCTTCTTTCTCTGTAGGTGACATCTTCTAAGACTTAGGCTTTTCTCTTCTCCCACCCCGAGTGGCAACTCTTGCTACTTTGGTGATATCTTCCAAGTGAGAATCTCAGCCTCATTTTTTACCTGCTCTTTAGACCCTGGCTGTGCACATACATTCCTTGTGTTTGTCCTGCCACCACCTCCCTCTCCTCTTGCCTCACACCGGACTGTGTTCCCACACGCTTCCTTCTCCTCCCTTCCTTCCACCTGTCCTGCCACCTCAAATGAGCTTCCTCGCCCTACCTTCCAACTGGTAAGCTAGTGGAACACTAGCTGATTCCTGGGTCCAATTTGGGATCTTCTTTTTTTTTTCTTTTCCCCTTCACTCCTTATATTCAGTCAAGGTGAGGGTGGAGCAGGGGACTGTGTCTACTTCTCTGTATCCTCCATGCTTACCTCAGAGCCTTGCCCATAGTATGTGTAGACTTCACGCCTTTTGGTTCTGTTGGCTCACCTCTCTAGTCTTCAGAGTACTAGGCAGGCTTTTTTTTTTTTTT